ATCAGCAAGATGGCCCTCCCCAGCGACGGAAGTCCGAGTGATGAGTTTGGGCTGCCCAAGTCCGGTCTCCTGATGGTTCTCCTGGGCATGATCTTCACGAAGGGCAACCGTGCCACCGAAGAGGAGCTCTGGGAATTCCTCAATGCATTGGGTTTCTATGCTGGGAGGAGGCACTTGATCTTTGGGGAGCCCACGAGGTTCATCAGCAAAGATTTCGTGCAGCAGAAGTACCTGACCTACTGCCAGGTGCCCAACAGCGATCCTCCGCGCTATGAGTTCCTGTGGGGCCCGAGAGCCCACGCTGAAACCAGCAAGATGAAAGTGCTGGAGTTTGTGGCCAAGATCATTGGTACCGTCCCCAGTGCCTTACCAAATCTCTATGAGGAGGCTCTGAAAGATGAGGAAGAGAGAGCAAGAGTGAGAGTCGCGGCCAGGGCTGCAGCTGTTGCTGCGAGAGGCCCTTTCATAGCCAAGATCCACAGCTGCCCCAAATGTAGGGGGGTAGGCCGCGGGCACTTTGCTTACTTTGTTTTGGCAGACAGCAGTAAGGCTCCTAAATAGTGCAGAGTAGTAGGGGTGGAGGAAACAAAGTATAGATCTTATTTATCTTCCTGTTTTAGACTAGTAACTTCTACATATTATTGATTGATTGATTTAGGTTTTTTCAAATGTTTTTTTCTTCTAATAGTGTGTTTTCTTAAGAATAGGAATTCGTGAATGACATTGCTTGCATATTTACTGCTGTTTAAAGAGTTTTAAAGTTAGTTTTGGTATATGTAAAAGAAATTCACGAACCATCTATATTTTCTGTATGATCCAGAAGTAGAAAACATGGCACTGCAATAGACATTGTCATGGAAATGTGAAAGGCGACCACAGAAAATATTTAGGAACAAGAAATGGAGAAAACAGAGAGTAAAAGCCATTTAACTCGTGGTTTGTCTTATTTCGTTTAAACTTTCTTTAGGTAGAAATAAAAGATACTTTGATTTAGCTCATTTGTGAGTATTTGTTTGTCCTAGTGCACCGCATATTCTCTGCTACCTACTGGATTAAAAATAAACTCTGATGGGAGGGTGGTATTTTGGGGGTTCATAATAATCATATCATAACTGCCATTCATCAAAAACCCAGTATTTCTTAATGAGTATGCCACTGCTTTACATGTAGTACATAACATTCCAACATTCACGCAGGATAGGATTTAGCAGACTCCCTTTACAGATGACTAACTTGCAAATTTCTCAAGTTCACAAGACTGATTAAGTGACCTTGCTGGGTCTAGTCCCCTGGTCTGGAATAGTCTACAGCCTACACTCTTCCACTCCTCCCAGCCTAAGCCAGACCTTACGTCTTTTAATTCATTTTTCTTCTCACCACTACAAAATGTATATCATGGGATAAAAGGGGCCCTGTTCCCAAAGCACTGTTTTGGAATACTGTAATAGGAACACTGCATCAGTGAGTGGTATGAATAAAATAATATTTTTCGCTGACAGTGGGGTCTTCTACATATGCAATGTCAGATACCCCGAAAAGATCAGCATCTCCTCGCTTACTCTTCAAGTTTCTCAGGGACATAAAAGCCTTGGTTTAAGAGC